TAAGACACTATGCCAGATGAAGCGTAGTCACTATCATAAGAGACAATCAAATTTGTGACTGACCACATCATAAGATTTGCTGCTACGTCACGTCCCTGTACACTGTGTTACCCGTGGCGAACAGAATGTTCACCACAGTAAATCCGCCAAAATATCATGTACTAAATTTGTATAGCACAGATGTACTTGTTGCAGTTGCTGCATGTAGTCTGTGCCTTGGAGTCCTTTGAGGGTCCACAGACCTCAGAGCTGGCTGTGGGGGTCTTCCAGAAGCTGACTGCGGGGGTCTTCTTGCGGCTGGCTGTGGGGGTCCTTCAGCGGCTGGTTGTGGGGGTCTTCCAGGGTGGGCATTTTTTCATAAGTGGAAAAAAATTAAAACAATTCCTTCACAATAAAAGCCCCGGCCATTGAGTTTCAGGTTGAACGAAAATATCCTTATATTTTGTTTTATTCATTGAAAATGGAAATCGGGTCAATTTGACCCGAACACCACACAAGGATTAAATAAATGTAGTAGTACACTATTCACCTCTGAATTGTAGTGGTGTAGAAGTACAAAGTAGCATAAAATGGAAAAAAGTTCCGCACTTATTTTTATGTATTTCGTTAATAAAATAGAAATAATGACAAAGAAACAAAATAACAGCATTTAAAACAGAAGGCTGCAGAAAATGTTTCACATTATCTACACTTTGATGTCTTGCCAGGTTACTGACTCAGTATTTTGGGTGTTTTGCTATACATAATTATACACCAATCAGAGGAAAACCTTAAGATTTCCCTTGTTGTGTATTTGTGGGCTTAAAATCTTGAGTCAGCTTTAGTAATGCGTTATCTCTTGTTGCTTGATTAACTTTTGCCTCTTTCATTTCTGAATTATGGAGGATATGAGAGTTCAGAAAGTCAGCACAACGACAACAGCTTGGGCCTGTACAGATTCACACACTTGTTCAATAAAGTTAGGAAACCTCATCTTCATGGAATTTAATTGTATTACATTAAATTTGGAATATAACTTCTTCTCCTTCTTTATGTGATTCCTGCTGAGGTTTATGACTACATGAGGTGCCGATGCTCATTTTATAGAGATAGATTTGAATAAATGCCATGTAAAATTAATATGAAGATAATGTCAATGTTATGTCTCATGTCTGGTTAGAGAAATTGTTGGAGTCTGCATTCTGAGTTCTTACCGGCTCACGCCTCAGCTCCTTTGGTTTTGGCAAATGATGACTTTTATGTTTTGCACAAAATCCAATAATGCCAGCAATAACAGCAACATGCTGTGCTGTCACAATGCATCTCTGATTTCCTTGTGTAACATATAGTTTTGGCTAATTTGTTCTACAATTAAAGCGACATGAAATTAAACTTTTCTCCACTTTACAGGCCTTAATAGTTATTTGGGGATGCATAGTGTGTCACTGGTTTGTAAAAGGAAAGCGTCACTTTGAATTATAGTTGTCATTAGTTATATTCACAAATAAAGGCTTATGTACATTATAATTGGTTTTAAAACAGCATGCATGCTTATTAAATCTGGTACGAAACCTGCTGAAAACAGAGAAAAACAAAGAGCAACTCAAACAAGTCTGAAAGAGGGATAACAATTGTCTTCAGGTTGGGCTTAAATAGGAAAACTCACCATTAAAATGGTAAACAATGAACACACTTTCCTTTACGTGAACGAAAGCCGCTCAACAGTCATGAACTGAAAAGTCAACCTGGTTTCTATCACATTGCATCATCCTTATTCTATATTAGGATAAACTGTTTTTTATTAAAAATAATGATGCAGGTATTTAGGGATTATTCAAAATGTTTTTATGAAAATATGTAAACGTTACAGCACACTGCAAGTCTTAAGTGGATTATATGTAATTGTAATGTAAAAAAAACGCTGCTTGCCTCCCTGCCTCCTGAATACTTTCTGTATTATAGAGTCTCATATTTTACGTTGCATATACTGTAAGCAGATGTGGACAAAGTACACAGATATTTTCCTTCAGAAAACTTATTTCCACATTGTACAAATACTCTGTCACAGTTTAACAGTACGAAAGCATAAGCACCATAATTCCAATAAAACAAATAAAATCTAACTTTATAAACTTCCGGGTAGCTTGAGATTTATAAGGGATCAATAACGTTTATCCTAATAACAGATGATAAGTTATTTATTTTTCATATTTGAGAGTAAGAAATACAATATTTATTTATGATATCTAGTAGAGTAGGCCTAAAAGAATAAAGAAGCAGAGAAAGGAAATACTCGCAACAGACTCAAAATTGAAGATCACTCATTGAGTTAATGTAGACTACTTACAGTAACAGAGGTGGGAGGAGTACTCAGATTTTGTACTTGAGTAAAAGTAGAAGTACCCGAGTGTAGGAATATTCTGTTACAAGTAAGTATTGGCATACAACTATACTTACAGAAACAAAAGTAAACATACTCATTATGCAGATTGTCCTCTTTCAGATATGTATATTTTTATTATAATTATTGATGCATGAATTTGTGTTTATCACAGCTGGTAAAGGTGCATCTAGTTTTAATTACTTTGTATTCTGCAGGGTAGCTTATGATTTACTCCAGATGTAACTAATGTCTTGTTAAAGAATTGATTATATTTCAGAAGGTACTCCATAAATGTAGTGGAGTAAATGTACACAAATTACCTCTGAATTGTATTGGAGTAGAAGTAAAAAGTAGCATAACATGGAAACACTCAAGTAAAGTACAAGTATTTTAAAATTGTACTTAAGTACAGTACTTGAGTAAATGTACTTAGTTACTTCCCACCTCTACTGCTACCTAGTCCAATCCTGATTACAGGTGCATTCTTTTTAATTTGTTACGTGTTCTGTTTCCAATAAATAGTAGGCCTATTGGTTTGGTTACATCTGGATTTCTTTTTAAAGCTGTAATCATCAACATCTTCACATATTATGGAAAATAATAAAGATGGAACTGCTGCATCTGTAATTTCTCTTTTAACACTGACTGGTGTAGTGATTCTAAACGACATGCAGTGCAGACATGTGACACAATGGGCACCAGTAACAGCAGTTCCTTCATTAGGCGGTGTGTTTAAACTGTCAGGGCCCGCTGAGCACGTAGCATCGATTTCAAAGTTAGCCTGTCAATTTGCAATGAAGCTAGCATGAAAACACCTGCGTTTTAGAGGAAATAACCGTTGTGCTGCTCATCATTCGTATTAGCTATGGACCTTAAACACCTCAACACACACAAATAGAGATTTCCTTCAAACTTTAAATCACATATCTTTCTCCTGAGGAGTTTACTAGTTCACCTAAGCAGGGTGAGTGCTTGTATCTGATGTATCATGTGGTCTTACAACCCAGTCTCATGGCATTTCGTGTTCACCAACACGATTATTAATCTATGATTCGTGTTCACCAACACGATTTCCCCCTTTTTTTTCGTGTTGCACAGCACGATTTTAAAAGCAATGTATTTCTATTGGTAGTCTCACGGCATTACGTGTTATAGGAAGACCGGAAGCTGTGTGGTTCATAAAAAAATGTTCTTATCTGGTTCTTACTCAATATCAAGCCACAATTATTGCTTTTATTTCAAATCGTACAATTTCTGACTTTTGTTGCCGTCTGTGAGGAAAAGAAATGGGGCTCAGAGCCTCAGGATACTGAAATCTGTCTTTTTTAAATCTTTTTTTCCTTCTAATTTGTTATTCATTTCAGAATAACACACTGTTATTTACTCACCAATAACACACAATTATCCTTGTTTTTATTTATTTGTTTAATTCCATAATCTCGTTTTTTTGCGTCCGTCAGGAACTGAATTTCAAAATAAAAATAACCGGAAACAGACGTAGGCATTTCGAGCGATTACCCAAGATCCTCAGCTATGGTTTAAGCTCGCTGATTGGATGTTTTAGCCGCAATGCATGTTGGGATTTGGTGTTTATATGATATGAAATCGGAAAAACATTTTAAAAGAATAAAATAATACTTAATTCCGAGTGTTCTTGCTTTTCTCTTTGAAAGTCATCACATAACGGCATTGTAATACACGGTTCGGCTGCATTACATATTACAGATCTGCCGTAGTTCTTTATTTATAGAGCCCTGATGAGAAGACCTTTGGAAAAACTAGAAGAAATGCGTCCGGAACTGAATACTTGACGTGGATCATACATATATCAACAATTAAACAACATCTTCAATTTCTCTTCACACAATACGTC